AGCCTGGGCAATATGAAACTGAGCTAACAGAAACTGCCAGGTGAGAGGGAAGATTTTGTGCCAATTACTTGATAGTTGGTAGGGGACAAAGCCATCAGAGATGGTGATAGCAGAGTCTCCAGGGGATTTTGAGCAGCTTCAGCCTGCCTTGTTGTCCCTAGGATAATCCTTTCAGACGGAAAATAAATATGATGCAACCAAATATTGAAAAACAACTGCAGGAACAACTACAGCCCGTTCTCCTGTATGAAATTCCATCTTATAAATCTACTCTGACTATCATGCTGAAGTGAAGCTGTCCTCTAGGAAAGCCCAAACTTTCCAGTGGTTTTGCAGACATGGAAGAAGGGGTATGTTGACTAAACATAATCATAAATGACCACTGTTTTGGGGAAGAAAGACACTGGATGCCCGTGATATCACCGTAATAGCTACTTTAGCAGTTGACACTTATGCAAGAGGATTTGAAAACAAGTAATGGCACCTTATTTTTTACTCAAATGGAAGAAAAAAACAGCCTGAATTTGTCCATCAGTGTCCCGTTCTTCAAGAGGCAGTTCTTCAGTCTGCATTTGGAGGCCATATACAGGTGTCCCATTACTAGTTTAAGCACCTCAATTTGAATTGGTATTCTTACTTAAATATGCTTTTGTTCCTGTTTTAAATGATAGTTATGTGACTTACCTAAGAGATTGGCCACCAGCCAATATGTATTTTAGCAAATTAAAAAACTAATCTCAAGTCCTCATGCCTTAGGTTTTGCAAGTCATCTCTCAGTGCCTTGTTGCTACTGCTTAAGATTCTTCAGACTTTAGCATTCCTTGTTACTGGGTCTTGTTGTGCACGAATGTCCTTTCTGTCTCAAGAGGAGGAAAGAGGCATGGTAGTGTAAAGATGCAACTATAAAATTACAGTTGTGCATAGAAGGTTATCATATGGAATTAGATTTTGTATGTGTGAGTGTCAGGTACTCTTAAAGCTAAAAGACATTCTTCAAAAGGCACCTAGCTACAAAAGTTTCAAGTGTATCCAGATGTGTGATTGTAAAATTCATTTTTGTCACAGATGGCCAAATTAGGTCCTTCTGAATGGTCCTGTTAGGTCCTTGCTCCATGTGCAATGGAACATGTTGTATTTCTTTTGGTATTGCTATAAGAATTGTGTGGCTGCATTCTTTCACCATCAGATTTGGTGAGATAGATTATTGCCTATCCTGATCACTTAGCAATTATTTTGCGGGTGTTAAATCGTTTGGATTTCCCAGCACCAGCTGCTGTCAGGGCTTTGCCTATTTGAGTAGTCCAATCTAACAAAAAAAAAAAAAGAAAAAAGAAAAAAAAAGACAACAAAACCACACCTCTGAGTCACAGGTTTTGACAAAGTGATGAAAACTTCTTCTAAGTCTCTTGATACTTGTGTGCTCAGGTTTCATATATAAATTTTCTTCCTGGTGACATTGACTTTTGTGTTTGGAGCAACCGAAGTGAAAACAGCGTGCTTCAGTTGCTCTATTGCTTGATCTACCTTGCACTGTATTTTAGAAAAGAGAGAGTTGATGGCATGGACTCACTCTAAATTCCTCCTGTTTAAAATCCATGTTCCTAAATGTTTTCTTCCCCATAGTGTTACACACTTTTTACATGTCCGTATTGATCTATTAAGAATTTTTTTAATGACATTTTATGCCTGTGTATCTGAGTTGTGTACAGAGAGCTCTTCTCCTTTAGCACACTTCATTTTTGTGTGTCACTCAAGTATTAGAAATATTGCATTAATGGCAGTTAATTGGCAGGAGTGTTGATCTGTAGAGGGATATGGAACTTTTTTGGGTACAGTTTTGGCAACAACACATGAAAAATTGGCCACTTATTAATAATAGTATGAGTAAATATTAAAAATATGCTAGTAAAATGAAACACAGCTCAGTGTTGTTACATTTTAAAAAATTATTGGTTTAGTGCTATTTCTCTGGGTAGAGCTAATACACAGCTTCTCAACATTCATATTTTTAAAACCATACCTGCTGTATATGAGACACAATTTATACATCAGATACAGTAAGTCATGAAATGTCTTGTGTCACATAGCATCAAACAGCTTTTCCGTGTGAGATTAGCAGAAGTAATACTCCTGTTAGCTGATTGTACCGGGGGGGGTGTGTGTGTGTGTGTGTGTGTGTGTATATGACAACAAAAATAGTAATATGTAGGAGTTAATCAGATTTCTTAGTGGCTTTTCTAAATAAAATAATGGTTTAGATTCCTGTGGTTGTGCGAGATAATTACTTTCCCCTAATATTCCATTAAACTTAGTAGAGGCCAAAGTGAGCATCCTCAGGTCAGGTTGTATGTAATGGAATTTTCCACTAGTTTTTTGGTATTTTTTTTTAACGCTGAGATTGTTCTCTCATTTATGGACTAAAGTGTTGTCATGTTAAGTTTCTCCCACTACTGCGCACTTTGTCTTGCAAGTTTCTGGGAGTATCCCAATGAGTGTTCTCCTCAGGAGATCTTAACATCACTGCATGCATCATCATATCTGTGTTTAACAAACTAAGTTGGATTTCCTGTCCTCTACCTATGTAATGGAGCCCTACAAGGTCTGAAAACAACTTTTTTACAAGGAAACCTTTTACTTCAAGGTCACAATACCTAATGCCAGCAGCAATTAGCTCTGCCAGATTTCCTTTCTAACTCATTTACAAATTCTCAGATTTCTAGGTGTTTACCATGCCATGTGTCTACAAAATAAGATCACTACTTCTGTTACAAACAAAACAACATTGTCTCCATCACCATAATAAGGTACCTCTAAAATCTGAAAACAGGTGATATACTTCCTTTTCACAAATACATTAAAATTGTTATGCTTGAATAGAAGTTTCCTGTTCACTATTTTCACTGGCTTGGGAAGGATACCAGTTTTGAAGAGTGTTTTATTACATTTAGTTTTCTGGTTTGGGGAGGGGATTGTTTTTGCTTTTGTAAAACATACTTTCTGCTTTTAAGAATTCTATAACCATCTGCTGTTTTCTGCCTCCTCTGAAATGGCGCATGGATGTGAAGGGTCTTTCTGCCACAGTTCCCACCACTCATGCGCCTTTCAGCTCTCTACTATCTACAGTAGCAATTTAGGAAGGGGGAGAGTGGCAAGAGCTGCAAAACCAGTTAGTTACCAAGAGTGGACCTGTTGCCTTGCTGGCTTTCTTCTGCCCACAGAGAGTCCCAGGCAGCTCTGCGGGAGAGAAGCAGGGTCCTTGTCTGGAAGATCTTTGCTGAAAAACATCTACCAGCCATTATGCAGGACATGCTACCACTGTCAGGTCATGCAGAGTCTTCTTTCCCCCAGGAGACAGAGCCTGTCTCTTACTTGCTGAGAGTTGGTAGTAGAGGCAGATGGTTGCTGTGGCAGCTGTGAGATTTCAACATAAGTCTCCCTCAGTTTTGTATACGTGGTTTGTGGGCAGTGACTTGAAATCTCACAGTCGTTCATCTTTCGCATGAGCATGGTCACATCAAACATAAATGATACATGTTTATTTACGGACATGAATCTGCTCCAGTTGGAAATCATTCACAGCCTTGTCCAGGTGACACTTTTGTCCTTGGTTAGGCTTTCCTTTGCATATTGAACATGGTGGTGGTTATTGTAAGAATTGCTGCTTTCCAGTTTTTGTAGCTGTGTACACAGTGAAGATTCAACCCTTCTTAGTGAGATTTCAATGATCCTCTTTTTGTTGCCACAACAGTTATGAGAATACAGATGAGAAAAGCAGACAGAATCTTACTTTTGAAGTGGTGACAGAATGGAGATAGAAAGTGAAGGGGCACCTGGTCTTTCCTCTGACCCACAAGGAAGTGCGTGCAGAGGAGAGAAGGAAGAGAGGAGTGTTGGCCCCGCAGGAGGAAGGTGTGAAAGGGAGCACTGTTGGACATTCATACTACATGGGCCAGATGAGGGGAAAGGAGCCACTGTAAATATGCTTTCCAAAACCTCCCTTGAAGCAGATGTCTCCCATGAGAGAAATCACTTGGTGTAAAATACGCATTTGCAAGACTCTCTTCCCTGCCCCCCTCTTTCCCACATATTCGCATGCACATCATTGATTTTGTGGTGCAGAGGGAACAAGCATGTCAGATGATGAAGACTCACATGGCACAACATGTTGTAAACATGAAAGGTAAGTATTCTGGGAAGCGAGAGACTACCTCCCCCTGAGCACACTGCTTCCAGTTTATCTCCTCTGTGTGGTTTCAGTGGGCCCAGTAAGAGCTTCTTTCCCACTAGGAAAGTGTGATGCTGTGCACATGGTTGCATTCCAGCTTCCAGCTGGAGCAAGTCCTCAGCAGCCAGCATATATGCGTCATACCTTTTTTAGGAGCCTGCATATTTCTGTGGGACAGGGACGGGAACGGGGAAGTGTAGAACCTTCTGAAGCAACACTTCTTTCTGGTGCACACGAATGTGTCCAATAGTTGTCCCCAAGTGGGAACTGGAGCACATATGCAAAGAGAGATATTTTTCCCAAACTTAGGAATTTCCTTTTCTTGTTTATACACAGGCAGGTCAGCTTTGATTCTAGGCTTGCAATGAAAGCGTTTTCATCTCATTGGTTTGCCTTGTGACTAAGGTTTGTAAGCATAGCGTAGGATTTTTGCTTTTGTATCTATACATTTTCTGCAAATACTTTCCAGGCAGTCACGGGGAACTAACATCAGTGGCTGAATTGAAGCTCTTCAGAAAAATAATGGCCACAGTGTCATTTTGTTCTGTGAAAAACAGACCCTAAATGCTGGCCTTTTGTTTCACTGCGCTCTGGTTTGATGCCTTGGATATTTTTATGCTTGTGTGTGTGGTTCAGCTGTTATGCTAGCAACTGCTAACTGAGACGGATGCTATGGAAGTTTGTATTGTACGTTACGAGGCATTTGGAAATGTTTAAAAATAACCTCTCGTTCTGTTCCCTACGGGGATATTTTTGTTGGCCATGTTAGAAGCTTGTCATTTGATTCATTGAGAGTGACTTGTGTTAGTCTCTTAAAACTCAGTGGGAACTCAATAAAAGGTCAAAGCTGGTATGGGTAGAGCCTTTACAGGACTTTGAGAAGAGGAATTAATAGTCAAAATGGTGAAATGTCTTGTAAAAATCCAAACCAAGAGAAGCATTCATTTGCGGATGGTTAACCACTGCAACAAGGAAGTGTGCATTCGATTACTGCGGCACGGCTCCAAGATCACAGCCAGAAGGGCTGGTAAATTTACATTTATTTTACTCAAACCTTCCCCCCCTCCCTAGTTTGTTATGCTAATAGTGGTCTCTTGGAAAGGAACTATACTGTGAATGATGATGTTACATCGAGAACAGCAGAGAATAAGAACAAATTACTGACAGGAGTAGAGCTGCAAATGGGGAATGAATGAGACGAAACTTAAATGACATTTGTTGTAATATCTTAAGGTAAATTGTGGATTTATTTGTTAATTACTAACAAATGAGTGACTGCAGTTTTGGCCTTACAGCTGTCTTGGACTGAGGGGGAGAAATACCTTTGAAACGGATAATTTCTGACAAAACTAAATAGTTTTTAAATTGACGGATAGGTTGGTAGCAGATTTTGAACATCAGCTGAATACCATAGTGGGTACAGTTTAGTGTTTATTGCAATTGAGTGAGTTGGGTTGCCAGATCATAACTTTGTTGGTCTTATTTTTTTTAGATACTGAATAGTAGTACTGGGGGGAGGGTGGGTGGGAAAAGGAGTCTGATTCGGATCTCTTTTTCACTGCACATAACAGGAGTGCAACCCAAGGAACAGGAAGTATTCAATATTGCTTGGGATGGCATCCAAAACAAAGTTGGGTTTTTTTTCTTGTTTTTATACCAAATCCCTTTGTGAAAGATAGGTTGGCCCCTATATATCTATATATCTATGTTTTCTATTAATCTATATATCTCTGTTTTCCTAATGAAGTAAGACATTTCAAAATTTGTTTCTCCATGCTTTCTGTGGTACTGTTTACTTTTGATATTTTTGCATATATAGGTTGAGGTTGACAGATTTCAGTTTCAGGCACCTTTCTAAAACGATGCCCTTGTATTGAATCTTCATTTCAGCAATGAGTATTTACATTAACTGAGAATGTTCTGGCAATTCTGGAACACTCTCCCACTTTTGGCATCTGAAAATCAGAAAGCAGTTAGCGCAGCAGATACGGGAGAACTTCAATCTTGCAGTGATTTGTCTCCGAGTAGCAACAGCTCCTGGCTGCCCTTGTTTCATGAATTCACCACTCAGGAGAAACTATAGTGTCTATGAGAATGCACCTAACTCCCTTGATTCAAGAATTAGTGGCAAAATTGAAAAAGTATTAGTATTTACATGTATTTTGTATTCTTACACCTCAGAGGTTAAATGCTGTCTCCAAATGGGTACAAGCCATCTTACTGGCTTAATATGACACCAGTCTAGTAACAGATTTGTGCCCTGGGGCTACACTGGTTCTTAAAAACCTTGATTTTGCAGTACTGTTTGTTATTCTCTTGTGGCGTCCATGTGCATGAAACCTGTATATCAGCATATGAAACCTAAGGACGGGAGTTGGCTTGTGCAAAACTCATGGCAGGGGGCATAACTCCTCGACTCCTTGGGAGAATCCTGTCGCTGAGTGGGGATGCTGAAATTGAAAGGACCCACTTGTCCTTTTTGCGGGTGCTAAGCCTTCCCATCAGTGCCCAGCTCTTTTCAGCTTTGCCCGCTTTGGCTTGGTGCTAGAAACTGCGTCGCCGCGGTCCCTTCACCAGCTCCTCCGCTTTCTCCAAGATGCTGACAGGGGGATCTTTTTTTTGCTCCCAGGATACACAGTTCTCTCTCCCTGCTACTCCTCCCCTCAGCCTTTTCACTGCTGGTTCTGGAAGGGCACGAGCAGCACTGGGGTGGGCTCCTTCCAAGCCAGAGGGAGGTTAGAGATGCACTCCAGAATGCCTGCTGTGCTGCTTGCTCTGCTTTGGTTCTGCCCCGCGCTTTGGGTGCCCGT